TAAAGCTGGCCAGAATTATGCCAGCTGGCCAGAATTATGAAAATTGCACTGCGCAGCCTCAAAAAATGCCTGCGCAGACTGCGTAGTGTCCCATCTCTAGTCAGACCTCTATATAGCCATATCCTATATAATCGCACCTTTATATAAACATCTAATTTTGTTAAACAAATTACTGTAAAAGTATAGAAAAAACCTCTATATAAGCACAATCTCTTTATAAGTACATCTTACTATCATCCCAACTATGTGTCTATAGAGAGGGTTGACTGTATAAATCGAAAAAATGTCCTTATTACATTAAAATATACAATTTGCTCTATATTTTAAAAAAAATTAGACCATAATTATTATACTAGTTCGGCAGTAAATTCGGATTTTCTATGCGATTCTAATTAATGTTTGATTTTACTAGTCAGAACTTTTCATGTACGTACTCATTTCTTGCCTATTTCTACTGATACATGTCATCATTTATTTTAGGGAACTGTTTAACGTTAGAAACTTATTCTAATTAAATGAAATGTAAATATTGAAAAATTTCCACCATATTTCGCACTTTAAATAAAAGATTATAAAGAGAAGAAGGGTTTTAGGCGAAGTACTGAAAATGGATGGCAGGGGATAAATCAGCTATTTTCTGGGCAGTTAGGTATAAGCGAAATTTTACAGTAAAGTATGTAATCGACTGCTTACGCGGCTGATCATACTTTACTGCAAAATTCCGCTGCCCAGGACATATATATATAAATGCTGCTTATTTACGGTATATACAGACCTGTAGCTTTTAATAATGGTATATATATCAAAATAAACCATCTTCGAAGGCAAATTTTAGGCTAAACTAAAAGATATATGTGCACATGCATAATAATTGAATAACCCAAGATGGGATGTCAATAACAAAGAGAACCTTCATTCTTAAATAGCCATATACTCACCAGAGCCTAATTTAGTTAATCGCATTCACTCCTGTAGAAGACTCATAATTTGCATAAATTGTTAATACGCTGAAACGCTAAAATGCTAAGGTTCTGAAACGTCAAAATAGCCAAACTAAAAATGGCTACTTTTATCAATTACATATGTCTACCAAAAGACCGCATGCAAAGTGAAATTAGGGTCCAGGACTTCAATTAATAACAACTTGGAAAGAAAATTTTCACAGTTTGAGAATCACATATTTGTATATGTTACAAAATATGGAAAAAGCATTCATTATCTTTTATAAACATACATTTCAACCGCTATCCTTCATCCTTTATCTTCATCAATTTACATTCTAATATTTTCTTCAATGATGCGTTTATTCTCTCTTTTAGCATTACTCTTTGTTTTCGCTTCTGCTGGTACAGCGCAACTCAGCACGTATTCGTTGAATTCTTATAGCTTGAATACAACAACTAACCGAACGTGCACATATCAACAAAGTGGCTATACCCTTTGTGCAAATGTTCCGACAACAACTATAACACAGATTACTATGCCAACCTCTTACACTGCGAAGGCAGTTACAAGGTTTATAATAATTACCGAGGCTATTTTAGAGCCAAACGTGGATATGCAAACAGGGACTATTACAAACACTACATATGCCACAAATACAATGAACAGAGCTACGTGGACTACTTCAAACACCGTATTGACTACGAGCATGGCTGTAGGGACTACAAACGTTGCTAGAGGACAAAACAAAACACTAACTGTTCGTATAGTTACTGAGACTACTTTGAAAACAGAACAGGCTATGTACATGACTACTGGGAACATTTTAAACACGTCAGCTACGAACACAATCACGGGAATCACGGGAACTACATCAGCCATTAATACGAAAACGGATACAAAAAAGCCACTGACCACGGGGACTACTTTAAACGCAGCACAGACTATTATTGTTACCACTGAGATAATAGTGATTACAGAAACCATTTTTAACACTGTAACGACTATGAACATGGCTAGAGAAGCTACACCTACCATTAATGTAGTTACAAATACTAATTTAAACACTACAATGAATACAATGAATTCAATGACTACGGATCCCGCACCAACTATGAACATGAATACAGGGACTGTTCCTTACACCGCGATCAAAAAAATAATTGCAGAACCTACTTCTAATACTGCGTTAACTATGTACGTGACTACAGGAACTGTTTCAGGCACCACACCTACTATGGACGTAGTTGCAGCTCCTACTTCAGACACTGCATTAACTATGTACATGACTACAGGAACTGCTTCAGATACAGTACCGACTATGAATGTAATTGCGGATCCTGATCCCGCCTCAGACACTGCGTTAACTGTGGATATGACAGGGACTATGTCGGACACCACACCAACTATGGACGTAATTGCGGATCCTGATCCTGCTTCAGACACT